TTCCTGCTCATTTCTTTTGCATTTTGCATCCTTTTATATCTGCTTTCTAACTCCTTCAAAAATGTCTCATAAAATACAAGATTTAAAGTAAGCAGTACCTGTGTGTTCTTAACATGCTTTCATAACAGTAGAAATCTACTCCTTGAGTAACTTCAACAGGGTACTTGTGTGCTGTTGATACTCTGTACTTCAGTGAGGATTGACAACTGCCTTTTCATCTTTGCGCTGTTTGCATTCATGCTAAAACCAAAGTCATTAGTAGTTGTATCCCAGATGTACTTGAAATAGAAAGTGTGACGGGTGGTTTCTGTTAAACATACATCCTACCCAGCTTTGTAAATAAGCCCACAAAAGTTACTAGTCTTACTAGCTTTCTAAGAACTAGTAATCTGCATTTCCGTATTGACCATGGGTAGGCAAACTAAGGCCCGGGGGCCGGATAAGGCCCAGTCGCCTTCTAAATCTGGCCTGCAGACAGTCCGGGAATCAGTGTGTTTTTACATGAGTAGAATGTGTCCTTTTATTTAAAATGCATCTCTGGGTTATTTGTGGAGCATAGGAATTCTTTCATTTCCCCCCTCCAAAATATAGTCCGGCCCCCCACAAGGTCTGAGGGTCAGTGGACTGGCCCCCTGCTGAAAAAGTTTGCTGACCCCTGGTATTGACCATTTAAGAGGCAAAGTGCCCTCCTTTGCTAGAAGGAAAAAATGCCACCTGTGAAGTAGATTGGTGGAAGAGGAATAGAGCATTTCAGTGCTGATTGTGAAGGAAGAGACTTTTCTCGTTAATTCAGGAGGCATGGAAACAAAGTGGGCTGGTAGAAATGGGATTAATGAAAGCTGCAATCCAAAATGTCTGGAAGGCGCTTGTTTGACAAAGGCTGATCTGGGACATTAGAATTTTTCCTGATGCAAAATGAATTTTCCAGTGCAAAGTACGCTATGCAAATTAATGTGCTTGTGGATGCAAATCAATTCAAGAATTTGGCTGAACCCCTGTCACTGGCCAATTCAAAGTCCAAAGGACCAGAAGCTGTTGGTTTATAACCGTTTTACAGGGATGTTTGAAACAGCTGGGTTCATTTAACAACAAATAACTGCTTGTACCCCATAGTGGTGTTTCTCTTTAGTTCCAAACGGCTCCAATGAGTTCTCTAAAGAGTCTGTAATTTTGGGAAGGGCTGTAGCTCAGTGGAAGAGCTTCTACTTTGCGTGCAGAAGGTCCCAGGTTGAAACCTCAGCATATCCAGGTAGGGCAGGTTCAAGAGAGAACTCCATCAGTGTAGACAATTTTGAGCTAGATAGACCAATAATCCAGCTCAGTATAACTCAGTTTCCTATGTGGAAATAATATTTGTGCTTGTGTTGCTGAATGAACCTTTAAATATGCCTCTTGGGATAGATGGATAAATAACCTGTGTGTGTTGAAATAAGAAAGATAAAGTGAAATGATCTAAATTAATATTGGGTAAGCAGGATATGTTCTGTACTCTTGTGTTTATTCTGAGAGTAAAAGTTCCTATTACTAGAACAAAGCAGAGCTCTGCAATTTCCAATTATAGTTCTCATGTTAGTTTTGCCTGTTTTTAAGTGTCTGCCTTTAGTGTGAGAATATAAACATATAGTGCTTGGGAACCATGCCCTTCCGGCTTGACTAATTCTTTCCCATAGTGAACTCCCACAAAGAATGTTGTCAGATATGTATTACTACTAGGTGGCTGCAGTATATCTTTCCTTAAAAAACAATACTTGTTGCCTGCAGTTTACATTAAATAGTAGATTATTAGACTGATGGGTGTTGTTACCATGACAGTGACATTTAAAAGGATAGGCCTTTCCTATGTCTATAACACAAAGCATAAACAAAAGCATCTCACTAATATAGTGTCCCCATGGGATTTGCAGTTCCTATGCAACAATTTTGTATGGAAATGCTTGATGCAAATAGTCAGTTTTGTCCCAGCTATTCAAGCAGAAGACCCCTTAGCATATCACTAGTTCCTGAAGAGTTTTCTGTACTACAGATTTGAAGAAAGCAGCTATTGTTCTGTAAGTCTGTAGCACAGAAATTCTTCAGGACTTGATAATATGCAATCCTAGCCATTTCTAGTCAGAAGTATGCCCTAATTGAAGCCAGAATGCAATAGAACTGCAGACCAAGTGATCTTCTAATTCTATAATTGGGGCAAAACATAGAAAAATGCTGTGTGCGTACTGAACTTAGCATGCAAAACATTCCATATAAAGTTTCCCCATAGGAAAACTGCAAATCCCCTGGGGATGAGCTGTTTTTGTTCCAACTGGTCATGATATGGTGAAAGCTTTGAACATTAGGCTTATGTTTTTTCTTTCCCTATACATGTGTTTTGTGGTAGCACCTAGAAACATACTGAGGAGTACTTTGGCCCGTTAAAATGTATGGAGACTCTTATTGTGTGTAACACTGGTGGAAGTAGAACTAAGTAGCATAAACAGCTAGAGCGAAATACTACATTAGTGGTAGGATATGGTGTAAAATAGCTTGTTATTGATATGTTTAGGGTTTTAAAATGTCACTTTCTGCACTCAACTACGGTCAAGGGTATTAGAAAAAGGTATGAAATGTTATCTCTGGTTTTTTGCTCCATAGGTCACTTAAGGACAGTTTGCACTTCATTCTTACCAGAAATCACACATGCAGGATGCCCTGTTGAGGAATGTATGGATTGCTAGGTTGGCTCTTGTACACAAGAAATTCCACTGCTGCACTTGAGTGAGCAGCTGGCTTCAGGTGCTGGAGGTAGAGAAGTCCTCTCTTTTCCAGACCTTCCAAGTCTCTTTCCTTCCTACAGCAAAGGCAGTTGTCACTGAAAACACATTTTCAACAGATCTGTATGTTAGGTGCATCTATTTTGTGTATGTTTCATTTTTTCATTCATAGAGAATATTTACACCTAATTGGTACTTAAGAACTATGACACACTTCTTTAATGTATGCTTAGTGGCTTTAATTATTGCTATAATTACTGGTCTTTTTAAATACATGTCCTGGTATACACAGCTGGTAGAATATTGTTGAACAAGTAAAATGTTTTGACATATGAAGGATTTTAAAATTGTATTAAGTACCAAACAATTGTCATTTTTGAAACTTTATTTTTTGTTATATCTGAATTGATTTTGTATCATAACACAATGATTTTCCTTATAGCTGCCATCTCTTCTTTTTGATTGCAAGTACCAAGAGGTGAATAAAACACAATCTGTGGCCAGTTAAGAACATACAAGCAGCAGTCAG